CCCCTCTCTGCTGCCCCTGCAGCCTTGTGCTCAGCCTCTTGGTGAACGTGCCTGCCTGTGGCTCGGCTGCCCCGTGCGACTCTCCAAATCCCTTGGCACTCTGCGCTAGCAGCCTGGGATTGCTCTTCCCCGGCCGCAGGAGCACGGGAGAGCTCCGGAGCTCCTGACTGAGGCCGTGCAGGGGAGGCGACGAGCCCCCTGTGCAGCGACAGGGTGGCAACGATGGAAGATGACACGTTTCCGATGGGTGCACGTGCCGCGGGATTTGCTTCCTCGCTCAACCCTTTCCTCTTCCTGGCAGAGCTGCAGTTGCCCGTTTCCTTCTGTTGGTATTTGGAGGCAGTAAGCAAACAACATGCGGTGGCTCTGTGCCTGCTCTCCTAGGGACTTTGCCATCTCCTCGGTCAGGGATGGGAGCAGGGGCTGCACACAGCTGTGTCTGCCTGGAGTCCCCGCAGCATTCTCCACATAAAATGCCTTTCTTTTCCTGATGCAGGTGGCGGGGGATGGCGGAGAGGAGGAAATGCAGCACATGGGTGTGGGTGGCTGCCGGGGTGCTCTGCTCTCCCCAGGAGCTGCGGTTTGTAGGCGCTCACGTGCGGCTGAGCCTGCGATGCAGCCTGTGTATCAGCGCTGCACGCAGGGCGGTCACACTTCATCCATCTGCAAACCTAAACTTGAGGAGCAAAGCATGAGAGAGCTTGGAAACGCTCCAGGCCTGTTCACGCTCCCTAGAGAGATGGAACCTGCCTAACCTTAATAGATTATTTTTCGTCTATAGGAGGCCTTATGAGGAAGCACCCGGGTCCCGCTCCCAAAGCACAAGGCCAGCATCGTTCTGAGGGTGACACAAGCAGAGACTGTGCTGTGCCTGTCAAGCAAACAGGCTGGATGAGCTCTCCTGTTTAACATCACAGCCCCTGCTTGCTTGCTTCTGTGATTTCCCAAAAAAGAAAGAAAGAAAAAAACTTTTTTCCTGCACAGTCACTTTTTTCCTCCTTCAATTGACAATGGAGCTGTAAAAGAAATAGGCACTTCATGCCCCCCAAATGTAGGATTTCCTCATAGCCGATACTCATGCATTTGCTTTTCTTTTGTCTTTATGAATAAAGCAGGTATGCGTTGGAACTCAGCCCCGCTCTTGCTCCACTGCACAGCCTGTGCAGGACGCTGCCGTGAGGTGCCAAGACGCCAGGGATCGCCGAGAGCTTCTTACGGAGGGTGAACTGCTCTGCTGCTGCTACCGACTCAACGGAGATGGCGCCTGCTGGGCCGCGGACCGACTGCCCGCAGCAGGTGAGCGCGGCGGGCCCCGGGCCTGTCCCCCCGCGGCCCCCGCTCCGCGCGGCGGCTGCCCGCGCCTCA